CATTACATTTTTTTTCATTCTGCAAGGTGAAACAGCAGGAAGTAGGCATAAAACTACAGATAGACCAACAGCCCAGGCTGATCTAACAGGTTTAAATTGACATAAGGGTGAGTAAATGAATCTTCATTTTTGATTGGACTATTCCTTTAAGCCTCATTAAATTAAAGCTGAAAAATTAAACATGATTTAGACACATTCTTTCATGAATGAGGCCCACTGAATTCAATATAAGAACATTTAATCATTCATAGCGAATCTAAGTGATTAAAAAGCCATGATACAACTGTAAAAATGATTGAAATGAAGAATATCACAAATGAATCATATGAATCATAAAAACAAATATACAAGACGAATGGGTGTTGATTTGTGTTAGTTTTCTGTCTGAAATCTTTTATTTTGATTCCCTCTTATAGATGTTCGTCACTGTGCCAATAAACACAGCCACCTACTTGGGTTGTTGTAACATTCATTTCACCAGAGATATTCAACAAATAATGAAAATTCTGCAGAACAACCCAGGGTCTCCTACATGGAAACTCTCTGATGTTACTTTAAAGGAAAAAAAAGAAAGAAAAAGATATGTGAGAAATAATATTACAGGAACCTCATTTGCAGTGCATTAAAAGGAAGGATGTGCTATAAATAGAAAATGTGTCCCCGTGTCCCTGCACCTTCTGACCTGAAATATAGCTTAGTGGAAATGTTAAAGTTCTGGAGCAGGGCATGGTTCATTTTCATTATGTTTTATTATTATTATAATTTTTTCCCCTAAGAGCTATACCACAAACACAGTCCCTTTCTCCCACTTTTCAGTATCACACTCACAATCATGCTATTGTTCTGAATGTCAGCAGCTGTGACCTGCCAGCCATAAATAAAATATAACTAGATAACTGCATCTAACTGTTATATAATTTCTATGAAGATATTGAAAATACATTATGGTAGCAAAACATTGTGTGCTAATCGTCATTAAATGCTGTCCTGTGGCTAGCCTGCAGTCTCAATACAATAACATGGGTAACATTTTTTTTTCCAGTCACTGGCTATAAAAATGGATTTATGTGGAAGATCATAGGTCAAATTCTTGTTTAAAAAGTATCTCTAATTAGAAGCACGGTATAGTAAACACATCGCTTCTCTGCAGGAGTCACAGCACTTCCTTTAGTTTAATGAGAGCTTGTGTATGTGCTGCTCAATAAACTAAGCAGACAAGAGTCAAATGTCACTGTTTATACACTTCTTACACACTATTACTAAATTATGGGTTCTTGAAGATGGTGACAAGCACTAGACCTAAGACTTATTGCATGAGACAGCAGATGTAAATGCTAAATATAATCTTTTACAGTTGCCATTGTATTTGGCAAGTAGATAAATTTGAAAATGTGATATGTACAGAATAATGTACAGTCAATAATAAAATAAAATAAATGACTACTTGCCCCAGACAGGGGGCCAACTTACCCCAGTATTGGCCTCTATGAATAATTTTACATTTTGTTCTATAACAATTAAGTATGCAAATGTTTCTATTTCCTATAATAACACATTGGCTGATGCATCATCATCCTGCACATGCTAAACTTTTATCTAAATATTAAAAGTAAATGCACATTGTTTTTAAGAGGTGCATCTTTCCCATTCTTTTACCCTATATTAAATAAGCTACATATCTATTCAGTAATGGTCATTCTGCATGTTACCTAAATTTATCCCATTAATGTGACGCAGCTGAGCCAGCCAGATTCATTTTGTTGGATATGAAAGATATGTTCACAGCACTGCAATTGCTTGAAATAAGATCCGTGCCAATATTATGGCCTATGTTTTGTATGGGGATTCCAAAATCAAACTTGCAGAGAATAATAGCGGCCCATGAAGGAAGCTTATGAACACTGTGAGCATGGAATGTGAGTGCAAGTGTGCCTTTGATGCACTTCTGTCATTGCCCAAAGGACCCATAATTTTAGCCACCTCAGTGAGAGAAAGTATGATTGCCAAGGTGAAATGACAATGGGAAAAAGGAAAGGGAAACAGAAGCTAGCGTATATGGGAAACGATGGTGACTTTTTTTTGTTTTCAACACAACTGTATATCATCTGTACAGTTTGTGCCGATAACACAAAGGCAGTAGTTATGCAAAGTTAAATAAACTCTTTTGGTATTGACAACCCCCTCTGTTCATGTTGAAACAAATATAATAGGTAGAATATTTATTCCCTTAAGCAACATTGTGCCTTTTCATTTTCATCTCAATAGGAGATGTATTAGGAATGCAGGACTTTAATACATTCACAGCTGGAACATTGCACACACCAAAGCTTTTATGGAAATTTTGTTGATGGATGGTTTGAACTAGAATGACACATAAGAAGAATATGTATTAGTCAATGCAAGTTGTATAAATATTTGAAATGCGCACAAAAGCAGCCTTGAACAGTGTTTTAGAATTTCTACTGCTTTGTAACTGGTACTTTAAAAGCAAGAGAAAATATCTCTCATATCTTAGGTTATAACAGTTTGTAGTCCTAAAACCCAAAAGAGAATCGTGAGGTCTGTGGTTATTATTTGGAGATCTTTTCACATTTTTTTTCTACATAAATAAATTACAAGGAAGCCCCAAGGATGAATTTTGAAGCTTGGGTGTTTTTCAAAAAGTAAAGCTACTAGAAAGATGTGTAAAAAACTATTTATGAAAACTTTTAGTCCTTTCTGCTCTATTCATGATACACTTAGATGCCCATAACGTTTTGGACAAGACCACTTTTTTGTTGTTGACGTATTTCCTATTGAAACGAAGATGAGGCCATTGCCTTGTCCATCCCCTTGTCCAAATACCCACACTTGCGGTCTTGGCCACTTGAGAGCGCGTGCCCGCGACAGGAAGTAAGTGCGCAAGACTGTCCCAGGTCTTAAAAACGGCAAAGCGCAGTGCCCTTAACGCACACTAAATCCACACTATCTCGAATACCGCTCCGAAGCGCTATTCGAGGCTTTGTGTATCCCATCATGCATCATGTTCTGGAAATAAATCGTGAGACTTTTTGCCGAGAGGTCACGGAATGTAAACACTTGCATTTTTATAACACTATATAAGTGTGTCCCATCAGGTAATGAAAAGTTCGACACACACTTCGAAGGTCTTCATCCTCACTTGAACACTTGGGCCAAATACAGGAAATACGTCAAGTGGTCAAGTGCAAAGACGGCAAGTGCAGGGGCAAGTTCAAGCTCAAACCGGTGTGCACCGTTTTGCTACGGTTTCCGGTTTGAACGACATGTTTCCTGGAAACGGTGTGCAACGGGGTTTGAGATGCGTTTTCTCTTGTTTGGTGGGTGTGTCAAACATGTCAGCCCAATCAG